GCCTAAGCCTGGCTGCTGCAACTGGGGCAGCCTGTCCCCTACAGAGAGCCATTGCCTCAGCTAGCTCTCCCCTGAGGCAAGGTCCTGCGAGGCATCGCTGGGCTGCGAACCCACTGGTAGGCACTGCCAGCTGGCTGCCGCCCCAGTCAGAATGGCCTGGTATCCAGCCATGACCCCATCCTCCAGTGCCTGGCTAGTTTCCTGGACACCGAGGGTTTCCAATAAAGAACATGTTTGATGGGAGCCTGGAGAAGCTGTCATTCTTCCTGAATCAGGTGTGGGCCCACTTGGGCCTATATGCCCCAGCCTATTCCGTGACTGTGAACCTCAAAAGGGAAATGGCGGATTGGGTGACGGGCCTCCACGATGAAGAGGTGCCAGACCCGGAGTACATCGATGACTTTCTAGCAGAGTTCAGGGCCAGATTCGAGGATGAGACCCAAATTCAGAAAGCTGCGTCAGAGATCTGGGCCCTCAGACAAGGGAGCTGACCATTGGCCGAGTATTCAGAAGTTCTGGAGAGTCGTAGGCAAGTTGAGGAACTGGCCAGAGAGCACTTTAGAGATGGCCTGAACCGAGAACTATTCCATAGCTGCCTGTCCCAGGGAATATCCAACTGGATCCACAATTGGTACTGGATGGCAACAGTGATGGATCTCGACATAAGTTAAGAAGCATGGTGCCCCTGAAGCCAGGCCGAAGAGGAGCCAAGAACGATGGCTGCTGGGAGAAAGACAAGCATCTATCCTGGCAGCTGCCTCCCCAACTGCCCTGAGACCTTCTTGTGCTTCTGGTGTGGCCATTGGGTGGCCGAGTGCCTGGCACCTGTCCCCAACCAGCAGTAGGGAAGTTGAGTGTGGTGCGTCAGGTCGTAGATGTTTCCTCACCTAGCAGTGATGGGGGAGGGAACTCTGACTGAGAAGGACCAGCAGCCTGCCCTTTACGAGAGTGAGGACAAAGGGGAGAGTGACCCAATGGTAAGTGGAGCCATCTGCCCTTTCTCAATCTCAGTGAGGATCGTGACACTGAAGCCAGGAGCTTGGGGAGAGACGAAAGCCCTCATAGACTCTACCTGGTGCTTAATCAGCTTGCAGACAATGCTAAAGCTGGGTATACCAGTAAAAAAACTGTCCTAATCCATGAAGTTTAAGCAGGTGGATGGCTCGCTAATAGGGGGTGCCCCGGAAATGCACATAACAGCCAGTGCAGCTAGAGATAGGGCAGCACCGAGAAAACAAATGAGGATGTCACCAAGGTTTGTTGTGGTGCCAAACATGATGGAGGACCTGCCCCCCCATCAGGGAATCTGAACAAAGGGTTGGAGAGGCTGAAGGTCAAAGAAGGGAAGCCTGAACACTTGATGGCTGCTTCTGAGCAGCTGCCAGGGATTCTGCCCATCCCCAAAGAGTACAGAGACTTGGGGGAGGTGTTTAGCAAGAAGGAATGTGATGTCCTACTCCCCCACCGCCCCACCAACTGTGCTATCAAAATGCTGCCAGGAGTGAAACTCCCCAAGCCAAGGGTGTACTCCATGACCCCAAAAGAGATGGAGGAACTGAGGAATTACATTGTTAAGAACCTAGCCTGGAGTTTCATATAACCAGCTAAATTCCATGTAGCAGTCCCAGTGCTATTTAAGGAGAATGGGTCATTGAGTCTATGTGTGGACTTTAGGGGAATAAACAGGTATACGTGGAGAATATGTACCCCCTTCCCCTAATGAAGTAGATGGGCCACTTTGTTAAGGGGAAGATCTTTACAAAGCTGGACTTGAGAGAGGCGTAATACAGGGTAAGGATCAAGCAACAAATAGAAAATTGCCTTCAACTGCCTGTTAGGGAGCTTCCAGTTTAACATAATGCCATTTGGACTCCAAGGAGCCGCTACAGTGTTCATGCAGCTAATGAGGTGCTGCATGACCATCTGTACAAAGGGATCCTGGTATACCTTGATGACGTCCTCATTTACACAGAAACAATGGACAATGAGGAGCACATAAAAGTAGTGTGCCAGGTCATCAAGAAACTCCTAAAGGCAAATCTGTGCACCAAACTGTCCAAATGCGATTTTCACAAGATCCACCTAGGCTACCTGGTCTGTGAGAGAATAGATAGACCCGGGGAAGGTGAAAGCCATATTAGACTGGCAAGTCCCTCGAATCTGGAAGCAGTTACAGACCTTCCTGGAGTTTGCACATTTTTACAGGCAATTCATCCCCTCTTTTGCCTAAATAACCCTGCTGATCACTGAACTGCTAAAGATGGGGGAAGGGGGAGAAGCTTTGACTGAGCCAGCCACTGAACTGGACAATGGAGTGCCAGGGGGAATTGAAGAGACTGTTCATAGAGGAAGCAGGCTTAAAACACCCTAACCCAGAGAAGACCTTTGTTATCCAAGCGAATGCCAGCGATGTGGCTGTGGGGGCAGTACTCCTCCAGAAAAACAGAGAAGGAAAGTTGCAACTATGTGCTTACACCTTCCAAAAGCTCACAGAGACTGAGAGACAATAGGCAGTGTGGGAAAAGGAAGCTTTTGCTTAAAGGGAGTAAACTGCCTTTCAAGGCATGGACTGACCATAAGAATTTGGAAGAGCTGAAAACCCCCAGTAGCTGTCCCCGAAATAAGTCCGGTAGGCTTAGTACTTTAATTGATTTGACTTTGAACTGATATACATACCAGGGGGAAGTATTTTCTGGCTGACACTTGTTCTTCATGCTGCAATACAAGAGCAATGGAAAAGTAGTAGTGAATGCAATCTCTCTCTCTCTCTCTCACACACACACACGAATCAATGAGCAGCATAGCCAAGGTAGCAGGCAAAAGAAGATTGATGGGCCTCAACGGCGACTTGACTCAACACATGAGGAGGGAGCTACAGCCTGATAACTGGTTTGGGGCCCATGGAAGTAAACTAACATTTAGAGATGGACTGGCATGGAAGAGGTTGTCCCTCTTCCATGCCTCTGTATGTTGCTGAGAGCCTATGAGTTCAAGTCTTGAAACAGAGCCACAACACCAAGCAAGCTGCCTACTTCAGGTTTCCAAAGACTTTGCATTTAGCCAAAATGCAACTCTGATGTCTAGGAATGAAAAGGGACATAGAAAGCTATGTGAAAAGTTGTGCAGTGTGCGCCTCAATGAAAAAGAGGCCAGGGAAGAGCCCAGGCCTCCTGCAGCAAGTGGTGGAACCAACTTGTCCCCGGAAAGAGATTGCAATGGATTTCATAGTCGAGCTCCCAGAGACGAGAAAACACTGATTTGGACAGCAATAAGAATTATTTTCCAAGCAAGCTTACTTCATCACTTGCTCAAGCCTCCCATCCACCCAGACACTGGCTAAGATGTTCCTTCAGCACATTTACTGATTGCATGGAGTGTCAAAGTGAATCATCTCGAACCAGGGGGTCCAATTCACCATTAAGTTCTGGAGGGAGTTTGTAAGGCTAATAGGGTCCTCACAGGGTCTTAGCTCAGTGTTTCATCTGAGCACATATGGCGCCGTGGAACGAGCAAATGCCTTGATAGAATAGCACCTACTATATCAACTATCAGCAATCTAACTGGGCAGACCTTCTGCCGTTCACTGAGATTGCCTACAATAGTGGGGTGCATAGTAGCACGGGGCTCACTCCTTTTAAAATAGCTACAGGGATGGACTTAGTGCTCATGCCAGAGTCCCTTATGGAGCCCCTTTCCTTGGTAAGTTTGATGGAGTGGATGGGTTCCCTCCAAAATGCCTGGGGCCATGTGAAACGAGTCCTAGCAAAAGTGACCAAAAGTCAAGAAGTTCAGGCAGACAAGAGACAGTCTCCCCCAGAAACCATTCCATGTAGGAGGGAAGGTGTGTGTGTCTACCAAGTATCTGAAGTTAAAGCTACCTTGCTGAAAGGTGGGTCCAAAATCTATAGGACCTTTCCCCAGAGTGAAAATCATAAATGCAGCCATGGTAGAATTAAAACTACCTCACCTATGGGAAAAAGTGCACCCAGTGTTTCAGTGCAGTCTACTTAAGCAAGTGGTGGGGTCTGAACTAAGACCAGTAGCAAGAATTGCTCCGGGTCCGATCTTAGTGGAGGGGGGAGTAACATTATGAGGTCAAAAGGATCATGGATTCCAGACTGTACAAGGGGAAACTCCAATATCTCGTCTAGTGGAAGGGATACCCAATGTCAGAAGCTAGATGGGTGAAAGCACAGAATAGGAAGGCAGATAGGTTAATACAGAAATTTTTATGAAAAATACCCCCAGAAGCCTTTACCAGGGACTTAAAGAATCCCTGAGCTCTATTAATCTGTATGTGTGCAGAGATGTTTTCCAGGTGCTTCTCACTTTCTAGGGGGACTTCTCTGTCAACTTCAGAACAGAACTATGCTGCTACAGGCATCTTTTCATTTCTCAGCTTGCCACACAGTATGTGGGTGGAGGGGAGAGGTTTGGAATGTTGGACCCGACATTAACAACAGATCATCCTGTGGGAATCAAGGTGCTGGCCAGAGACAGGAGGGAGTTAACCTGAGAGATGCCACAGTACCTAATTGGACAATATGACCTGTGACACTGAGGGAGGGGAATATCTATTCTTTAATTATACAAAAAATGCAGGAATTAAAGTTGGTTTTGCTTTCATACATGCCGAAAAGATGTACTCAACAAAACAGTTCTTAAAGAGACCTGATTATCTCGGAGTGCTGGATTGGTTGGGGTTGTCATTAGTAGTAATGTTAAGCATCACTGTCAACCCTTCCAGGTAAACCAGACAGGAAACATGAGCAGATGAGCTAATTATACTTTATTCTATGGCTATATTAACAAAACCTTGCAAGTCTCTTTACAGTCTGATCAATTTAGGACATCTTTCTTAAGTTTCTTTCGCTGACATTAAGCAACTGTAGATTCCTTTCTCCCCACTCTTGTCTGATAGTTTCCTAGGTAGTATCTCTTTTCTGCTTCCCTCAAGGTTGTTCTCAAATACCATTACATCATCTGTATCTTCCTTCTAGTGCCTCCTTCTCTGAAGATGCCTGAAAATATGCAACCACGATTTCTTGAGGATGAAGGTTTCTACACAGGAGAACGCCCTGTTGTGTCATTGTCCAACCAGAACATCATGGAGAATAGGATACTCAAGCAGGAACAGGTATGGTCCCTCATGCAGGTGCTATTTGCTATAATAATTTATCTTCCTTAAATGCTAAGTATTAAACAGTACTTAGATAAGATGGGTCTAACTAAAATAGCCGATACAAAAAGAATGATGTTAAATGAAAAAATGACTATGATGAAAATAGTTGAGGCAGTAAAGAAAAAAAAATAACAAAACACCGGGCCCAGACTGACTCCATGCAGAACTATATAAAACTATACAAGGTCCATTAGAGGCGTTAATGTCAGAGATGTACAACAAAGCCCTTGCAAAGGCAAAACTACCTAAATCTTGGTCAGAAGCATATATCACATTAATTCCAAAAGAAGATAGAAATCATCAACAGATAAAGAACTATAGACCTATTTCATTACTAAATGCTGATTATACAATATTTGCATCCCTAATGTCAGAAAGATTTTAAAAATTGTTAAATGAGTATATACATCCAGACCAAAATGGGTTTTTACGGAAAAGACAGCTGAAAAATAACTTGAGAATGATTATGAATGTACTAGAATACTATGAGGCACATCCTGGGAAACAATTACCTTCCTCGATGCGCAAAACCATTTGATAATTTGAATTGGCAGTTTATTATTTTACAATTAAAAATATGAATTCTGGGGATAAAGATGTGAAAATGTATGGTTTTTATAAAGAGCAGACAATCTTTTTATCAGATATTGTTGAACTCCAATAACTTTCTAATAAATTTGAAAATGGGAGATGAAAAAGAAATAATGATACAGTGGGCAAAAAACTTTGAATATAGAATTAGAGAAATGGCAAAATATATGGGTAAGAAATTATAAATTAACAATGGCAACTTCTTATAACGACAACTTTTATAACTTTGCCAACTTCCTCCAGACCAAACTTTAAATTTCCTGTGATGGCCCTCAGCTATTCCCTTCTGTCCATGATCTGCATCTTACTGCCAATTTGTGATGCCAGAATGAGGCAAGCCCCCAAGCTCGAAATGGTGTACATGTGTGTGTGTGCGTGCACATGTGTGCTTGGCCACTGGCAGTTCGGGAGGGTGCGATTTGTTCAGTTAGCCAGTGCTATTTGTTCTGCGCCAAATCACCCACACATTGCACATAGACATGCCCATCTGGCAATGCCCACAAGCTGCACCAACCCAGCTCTGCACTCACTTGACCACGCTCACCTATGCATGTCAACCTGACCATTGTGAGTTGTTCCATTCCGGTAAAGCACTGCAACTAATAGGGCTGAATGCTAGGATCACTTCTGTAGAGATCAGCAGAGTGGAAATGTGGACAGAGAGACAAATGCAAATTTCTATCATTTAATTAGTTTTAAATTAGTCATACTATCCTTCCATTGGGATAGTATCGGGGAGAACTTGAGAGCAAGGACTTCGCCATTATGATATTGGAGGCTTGAAAATTTTGGAAAGGGGAAGGATCCTTCAGAATCTGAGCCTCTCCCATCTCAGCCCATCCCAATCCATCCTCTGCAATCCTTTCCTTCTTTGACTGTTTCACAAGGTGGGGTTTTTCTCTGCTCTTCTGTCAAAAGAGAAAATATCACATATTTTCCAAGATGGTGGCAAAGGAGGAAGCATAGTTACAACACAGGGAAAAGTTGCTATTAAACTGAGATAAATGATAGGAGGAGAGGTGGAGAGGTAAAGATAAATCATAAAATAAATCATATAGAAAGGAAAAGGAGAGGAAAGATTGGAGAAATAGGAGGAAAATGACCCACAGCAAACTTGGCCTGCTGAGAGAAGCCCAGCTGCAACCGAGAGGCCTATCTTAAGAGCCCAGAAGCCCATTGAAGTTAGGTGAGCAGAGAGGCTAAACAAACGGGTGGAGAACAAGGAGGCGAGCCGTTGAGCGTGTAGGCCAGCTGTGGAGCAGGGAAGAAAATCACCCACGGGGCAGAGAGGCGAACCGACTGAGGCCAAAGCAATGACCAGCAGAGAAGAAAGAGAAGAAAAGGTGTTGAGACTCTAGAAAAAGTGCAGAGAAGAGCAACCAGGATGATTAGGGGATTAGAGACTAAAACATATGAAGAACGGTTACAGGAACTGGGCACGACAAGTCTAGTGATGAGAAGGACCAGGGGAGACAGATAGCAGTCTTCCAATATTTCAGGGGCTGCCCCAGAGAGGAGGAAGGGGTCAAGCTATTTTCTAAAGCACCTGTAGGCCAGACAAGGAATAATGGATGGAAACTGTTCAAGGAGAAATTCAACCTAGAAATAAGGAGAAATTTTCTGACAGCGAGAACAATCAACCAATGGAACAGATTGCCTTTGGAAGTTGTGGAAGATTTACTGGAGGCTTTTAAGAAGAGATTGGACTGCCATTTGTCAGAATTGGTGTAGGGTCTCCTGCTTCGGTGGAGGGTTGGTGGTTGGACTAGACGACCTACAAGGTCCCTTCCAACTCAGTTAATCTGAATTTGAATCTAATGTGAGATGCCTGACTTCAGGAAAATTTCAAGAATTCTGGGGCATAGAAATCAGGCTTCAATACTGTATGTCTTGGGTTTGATTATTCTCAAGTAAGGGATTCATACATAAACTTTTCAGAATTATTGCCATTATTTAAGTGTTCCTAAAACCTTTGGAACTAGTGGGACCATTAGCATCTTAAGAGCATGTTCTTAGGGACCTCAAAAAATGGCTGCCTAGGTGGACTAGCAAACCACAAAACCATTGCTGGGTCACTTATGAACATCAGTTTACTAGAAGGGCAGCCTCTTTCTGTCATTCTTTCTATCAACTTTGCCTTTCTTCTGGGCCAACGGATACATTTCTGGCTCAAAAACTAATATCCAACCACTTTCTATATTTAGTTTTTAAAAAGACCGATTGGAAAGTCTGACATATCCCTGGATATGGAGATGATGCTGGCTTTTTTAATGAAGAAAATTCATTTTACTTACAATACCGTATTTGCCGGCGTATAAGACGACTTTTTTGCCCTGAAAAACATGCCTCCAAGTGGGGGGGTCGTCTTATACGCCGGGAGGACTCCGACTCCCACTTCGAGCTTGAGTTGCAGCCGGGAGGGAGGCTGGGGGGGGGAACGGTGTGTGTGTGTGTGTGTGTGTGTGTGGCGGGTGTCACTCGCCACGCGCTGCGCAACCTTTCCCCCTCTTCCTTCCTTAGCGGTGTGGGGAGGAGAGGATTCGAAGATCCTCACGTGCGGCGTACTTTTCTTTTTCTTTTTTTTCTTTTTGCACGCAGGTTTTGCATGCGGGCGGCTGTAGGTTAAGGATGGGGGAGCCCCCGGGTGGGTTATCAGGTTTTACGGTGCTTCCAACATGTGCGAACGGTGGGAGAGCGGAGAAGAGAGCGAGCGAGCGCCCCGCTGTGTGAAATCCTGCCGTCAAAGCAACACTGGGGGAGGCAGGGTATAAATTTACCAGGTTAATGTAGCAATGGTGATTAATGCCCAGAACATTGTTTGCGGGTATTGGGGTGTGTGTGTGTGTGGTGGTGGTGGTGAGGAGAGGTTGTCCTTTGAATGCGGAAAAGTAGGTGTGACCTTGTGTAGGAAAATAAAGAGATCCTTTTTAGCATGTTTGGCTTCTTTGCCTCCCCTCGTTCGTTTTGACGTGGAGATAATGGCCTTCGGGCGGGAGGGGAAGAAAACGGTAGCTGGATCATTTCAAATTTCACTTACTCTCCTGCCTCACTTCAATATGTCTGAGCGACTCCAGATACTGGAAGACTTTTTGAATGAAAGTGTTACCTCCATTTTTTTTTTTTAAAGAGGGCCACTTGGGGAAAAAAAAAGATTCTAAGGAATTCCTTGTTTCTTGATTAAAGAGAAGGCATTGAATATACTGTTCCTTGGCAGCCTTTTCAGTGTCCGGGTTTTTGGTGTGTGTGTGTGTGTGAGAGAGAGAGAGAGAGATCAGCTGTATTGAGAAGAGAACGTTTCCTGTGTTCTCATTTTATTTACAACATATTTTACGCTTAATGGTAAGCAATGAAAAATATTTTTAAAACTCATTTCTAAACTCCATAGCTATTTGCATATTCTTGGTTCAAAATTGGATTAGCTCATTTCAAAATTGTCCAAAGCAGAAAAGTGCGTCCCCCAAAAAAAAAGTGCAAAAGTGGAAGGTGTGTGGAAGAGGGGGTAGTCTTATACGGCGAGTATATAACAAACTCTATATTTTGAGTGGAAATGTTGGGGGGTCGTCTTATACGCCCAGTCGTCTTATACGCCGGCAAATACGGTATTTCTTTGTTTAAGAAACATCAGTGCACTTTACATAATAATAATCAATGCAATAAAAATAGCAACATATCTGAAAGTAATAGAGACAGTAAAACCAATACCTGTTTAGAAACTAATCATAATAGTAGCTGATTTACATTCCTGTTTCCCATTACATGAAAAATAACAAAAGAAGATTTTAAAAAAACCAGATAAGACTAGAACCAAGGATTTTCTTACTGATTGTTGGCTTTCATTTTCTGAAGAATGCCATAGTTATAACAAGATACTTCTGGCAAAATTAAAATGTTTTTATGTCCTCTTTTTTGCAGGGGAAAAAGTGGTTTGGAGATGATGGTCAAATTTTAGCATTGCCCAATCCAGTTAAACAACCCCTTACTAGACCTCCATTGTTTCTTACAAAGGGAAACCAAGAGTCGGACCTTGTGATCTTTTATAAAAAGGTAAATTGCTTATTGCATGTTGTTAGATGTCTCAGTACAGAATGGCTGAATACAAATCACTGCCCAATTCAGTATTTTTCAACTTTGGCAAACTTAAGATGTGTGGATTTCAACTCCCAGAATTCCCCAGCCAGCTTCATAGACCTTAGACCATGGTCTGCATTATCTACATGAAGGGCTTCTGGCAAGGGATGAGCAGCACCTCATAAGAATTGGGAAGAATGTGTTCAGAAAACAACTGGCTCAACTTATCAGAAGGGCTTTAAACTAAAATTGAGGGGGGGAGGATGATCAATCCTTAGGATCTTTAGGGCCTAATAAAGCATAAATAATAAAACATAATCAATAAAATACAACCAATCAAACAATGAGAAAATAAACTCGGAAATAAAGTAGGAGATATAGGAAGCGTACAGCCATTCGGGACTCAGTGCCTATACACAAACACTCAAAGCTTGGGGAACAAATGGTGAATTTGAAGTACTAGTACACTAGGGCAAGTATGATATAGTTGCCATTACTGAAACTTGGTGGGATGAAACTCACAACTGGAATGTATTGATGGAAGGATGCAAACTATTCAAAAGAAACAGACCAAACGAGGAGTAGAGTTGCAATATATGTAAGAAATCACTATATATCTACAAAATAATCCCCATCTCCACAATCCCCATTTCAGACACACCAACAACAGCCAAGCCTCCTACAGCCTACCCCATCCCATTGGGTCCACCACCTCTGGGTGATTACAGAGAATGAGGTGCATGGTCTATTTCACAGACAAAAGCCAGGAAAAGCACCAGGCCCAGACAATATTGTGCTGACCAACTGGCCCCCATCTTTACCTGCAGCTTTAATAAATCACTAGAGATGTGCTATGTTCATTCTTGCTTCAATGCTCTACTATCATCCCAGTGCTGAAGAAACCTTCTATCAAGGAACTGAATGACTTCAGACCGGTTGCTCTGACATCTGTAGTTATGAAGACCTTTGAAAGGCTAGTGCTGTCCCACCTGAAAACTATCACGGATCCACTGTTAGGTTCCTTGCAATTTGCCTACCAAGCAAATAGAACGACAGGTGGTGCTGTTAATAGGACTCTGGACTACATCCTACAACATCTTGAATCTGCAAAGACCTATGCAAGGGTCCTCTTTGTAGACTTCAGCTCAGCATTCAATACCATCATACCAGACATTCTTCTAACTAAACTAAATCAGCTAGCTGTACCTGACCATACTTGTAAATGAAACATAAGCGTCCTAACAGACAGGAAGCAATAGGTGAAGCTAGGCAAAATCACATCAGATACCTGTACCTTTCCACTTCTCACTATATATACCAATGACTGCAACTCAAAAGATCCCTCTGTTAAAGTACTGAAGGGATCAAGCTATTTTCTAAAGCGCCTGTAGGCCAGACAAGGAATAATGGATGGAAACTGGACAAGGAGAGATTTAACCTGGAAATAAGGAGAAACTTTCTGACAGTGAGAACAATCAACCAATGGAACAGCTTGCCCTCGGAAGTTGGGGGAGCTTCATCACTTGAGACTTTCAAGAAGAGATTGGACTGTCATTTGTCAGAAATGGTGTAGGGTCTTCCGCTTGGGCGGGGGGTTGGACTAGATGACCTATAAGGTCCCTTCCAACTCTGATTATCTGTTATCTGTTTGCAGATGATACAACAGTTATTGGTCTCATTCGAGACAATGATGAATCTGCATACAGATGGGAGGTTGAACAACTAGCCTTGTGCAACCAGAACAATCTTGAACTGAATATACTCAAAACCATAGAAATTGTGCTGACCAGATAGTTGCTTGGGAATTGGGAGCTTTCCCCTTAAGGGAATGCCTCATGGGGAATGTAGTTCATGTCATGTGGTCACATCTGTAATCCTGATTGGTCACTGAATTGACCCTTGGTTGGGTTGAGGGAGTTTCCTTTATTCTTGCTTGTACCCCAGCATCATGCTGGTGTCTTTCCCTTTGCTCCATCGTTATGGGATGAAGATAACTATATTTTCACACTATGAAGACAACTATGCAAAGATTGGGCATTAGATGAATCTCAACATAACTGTGAGTTATCCTTGAGGATGCCTATTACAATCCAATAAAGAAACTTTGTATGGAAACCTTTGTAGAGTTTACCTAACTGTCTTTATATTCAGCCAGGAAGTTAAATACAGAACAGAAATGGTGGTAGATTTTAGGAGAAACCCTCCTATATTACCACCTCTTAAAATACTAGACAACACAATATTAACAGTAGAGAGACCTTCAAGTTTCTAGGTTCTATCGTATCTCGAGACTTAAAATGGACACCTAGCATCAAAAACATCATCAAAAAAGCACAACAAAGAATGCTTTTTCTGCGCCAAGTCAGAAAGATCAAATTGCCCAAAAAGCTGCTGATTCAGTTCTACAGAGGAATTATTGAGTCTGTCACCTGCACCTCTATAACTGTCTGGTTTGGCTTTGCAACCAAACAAGGCAGATACAGATTTCAACGGATAATTAGAACTGCAGAAAAAACAATTGCTACCAACCTGCCTTCCATTGAGGACCTGTATACAGCACAAGTCAAAAAAAGGGCTGTGAAAATATCTACAGACCCCTCACATCCTGGACATAAATTATTTCAACGTCTACCTTCAAAATGATGCTGTAGGACACTGCATACCAGAACAGCTAGATACAAGGACAGTTTCCCCCCTGAATGGCATCACTCTGTTAAACAACTAATTCCCACAACACTGTCAAACTACTTAGCAAAACTGTATTACTATTATTCTTCTCATCCTTCCTATTACCTATATCTTCCTACTTATGACTATAACTGTTGCTTGTATCTTTACAATTTATATTGCTTTATTTGTTTCCTAGTATGATTTGATGTTTATCAGTAACGTATGATTATCACTAAGTGTTGTATCTTATAATTCTTTTTTTTTTTTTTTGGTAATACATTTTTATTATTTTTATATTTTAAAAACATCTCTTTCAGTGAACAACGTGGTTCCAGGTTTACACTTCAACACAAACATGACCTTAGTACATATTTATCTTTCACATTCAATTCTATATCATATCATTACTTCCATTTTCCAGCAAATTTTCTCCATTCTTATTTTCTTTACACTTATTTTCAATTTATATCTTATCTTAATTCCTTTTTTTATAAATGTTCTCAAATCTTATTCTATAATCTTAACATTCTTATTTTTAAATTCTAAATACATTATACCTTTATACTTTTATCTGTCACATTTGCAATTTTGTCACATACTTTTATTTCATTACTGAATAAATTCCATCTTAAATCTAATAATTCCCCAAAATTTCCCCCTTTAAGTATCAGTTAGAGTGTGCCACCCTTTTATCTTATACATCCCTCAATTTATTCCCCTTTAATCCATAATCAAAATTTATCACAATATATTCACTATATAATTATCACATTCTAGTTGAATAACAATAACCTAACTACTATATGTCAATATGCATATATATATTTTAAGCAAGGTTCCTCATGGTATTCCCCTCAATTACTTTCTAAATCATTTGTTATTTCAAATATATTGATCTATTCAGTTAATTGTAGAAACTGGTATTAGTCTTTTCACTAGGATCCTCATAATTCATTTTAATTATATTCTTTGTTTATTATCCATATAGAAATTAACAATAATCCTTAAATAAAAAGCCAATTAAAGAGAAAAGAAAATATATCAGTTTCATTCATGTTTAAAAGCTACATTCTTATGTATTACAACAGATTACCTTGTAGAATCCCTTTTCTTTAATCTTTATCTACTCATTATCTCTATGTCTTCTGACTAAACAATTTCTAATTATTTTTGTTCGGTTTCCCTATCTCCTTATTTTCTAGTTCTTTCTCTTATTACATCGTTTTCCTTTCATTTTTTCCTTCCTTATTCCAATTTTTAACCCCTTCCCTCTTTAAGACTTTCTTCTGTAATTCCCTTCTCTGCTGTTTCCTTTTTCTTTGTTTGGCTTTCAAGACATTTCCTTTTTTAATTGCCTCCTCAACCCTCCAAGTTTTAATTCACATTCTTTTTTCCCTTCGTTTTAATGGTCATTGCTCCCTTTATTCATTGAAGCTGGCTTCTTCTTCTTTAATTAGCTCCTCCCATTCTGGCACTCCTTGTTGTTGTTCTTTCTCCAGAATCGCCATTTCTAATAATTGTAAGGTAATATAGCACAATTCATTTCTTTCATTTAACATTTTTTAAAAAAAAAATTAGTTCCATTTTTAGTTCCAAGAAAAGTTCTGCCATTTTCAAACATTTCCTTTATATTTTAGTATTTAATTCTTTAGTATTTAAGTCCAAGCCAATTGTCCAGTAATTCAATTTGACCAGCATCTTTGATTTTGATTTTCAATGATCAACTTCTATTAATTCTTCTTTAAGTTTTTTTCCCAAATTCATCAGATAGTCCAATATCCATAAGTTTAAATTTGTGCCAAGATCACCAAACAGTCCCAGTGTAGTTTCTTCATGCTTCTTTCTTTTATTTTAATATTCTTTGTTTTCACTTTTCACTTTTCAATGTTTCTGTTTTATTGTAACAAGGTTCCTCTTATTTTGTATCAAGTTTCAGTTTTGAAAGAACCAGACACTTTTTAAAAAAGTCACTATAATTTTCTTTTACCATTAGGTGGCGCTCTCTGTTACATCCAAGTTCCACTCTTTCTTTCTACTCCCCCCCCCCTTTTTATTTGAGGTATTTAAGTTTCAAAAATTCAATAAATCCAAATTGTAAATCATTTCTTTTTGGCACATTCAAGTTCAGCATTTAATTGCCTATTTAGTGCCAAAATCATATATTTGTCCCCCTCTTTCCCCACCCCTCTGAGGTGGATCCAGTCCCGTTTGGGACCCTCCGACAGGGCAAACACGGATCAAAGGTGCGCATGATTGCGGTCTCCAGTCCATCACTGACGGAAGTGCCACCGGAAGTCGTATCTTACAATTCTTGATGAATGTATTTTATTTTTTCTTATGTACACTGAGAACATATGCACAAAAGACAAATTTCTTGTGTGTCCAATCACACTTCACCAAAAAAAGAATTCTATTCTATTCTTTAAAAAATGCACAAAACCAATGATGAAAGCCTCCTAGATGGCATATGGGAAAAAATGAAAAAAATATGACAGTTGTATACCACAGGATACCCAACCACACACAAGAGATAAATGCATTTTTTGTTAACCAGTTAACAAATGTATGTAGGAAATATGCCACAGTAGTAACTACCCTTTTAAACTACCCTGATATCGACTGGGAGACAAACTCTGCATCAAGTAGAAGATCAAACAGGTTCCTGACCTACCTCACAAATTTGTCATCCAAATGTTAGAGGAGGGAACTACTAGAGGGACTATACTGAACCTAATTCTTGCTAACAGAGAAGCGCTAGAGGGGGGATTAAGTTGTCAGAACTTTGGGGGAGAGTGATCATGCCATATTGGAATTCAATATAATTGTAACACAAACAATAGAACATAAACCAATGTCTTAGACTTTAAAAGAGCTGATTTCCACAAACTTTGTGAGAACTTGGGAAGGATTCCATAGTGAAAATCTTAAAAGAGGAAAACAACTCAAGAAACTTGGAAAACTCCAAAAAATATGATTATAAAAGCCCAGTCCAGTTCAATAACACTGAAAAAGAAAAACAAGAAACCCAAGAAGAAACCAGCACAGTTACACAAGGAAATCTCTGAAAAACTAAAAGACAAAAATGATAAATATAATAAATGGAAAGTACTAATGCAGAATACCAATAAATAGCCAAACTGGCAAAGATGAAGTCAGGAAAGCAAAGGCTCAGAATGAAGTAAGACTTCCAACAAATGTAAAAAAATAATTTTAAAAGTTTCAACATATAAAAAACAAGAAAAAGTTAAAAAAAAAGTCAGTCCACTAATGAGTAAAGATGGCAAGGAAGTAACGGGCAGTAGAGAGAAAGCAGAGGTCCTTAATTCATTCTTTGCGTCAGTCTTCACGCAAAAAGCTAATAAAGCTGAACCTACCAAAACACAATCATAAAAATAGGACACAAACTAAGCAAGAAAATGGTAAGAGGACACCTGTCTGATCTTGACAAATATAAATCACTGGGATCTGTTGGATTACATCCCAGAGTTCTGAAGGAACTGACAGATGTGATATTAGGACCATTGAATCATATCTTTCAAATATCCTAAAGCACCAGGGAACTACCAGAGGACTGGAAAAGAGCTGATATGGTTCCCATCATCAAAAAAGGGAATAATAACAGATCCAGAAAACTACAGACCAGGTATTGACATCAATACCTGGGAAGATCCTGGTAAAGATAATCAAGCAGCAGAATTGTGAACACCTAGAAGCAAGAAAAGTTATAACTGGAACCCAACATGGTTTTTGTCAATAACAGTTCATGCCAAACAAATCTTATTTTATTCTTTGATAAAGTGACTAAATTAGTGGACCAGAGAAATGTTGTGGACATAGTCTACTTGGATTTCAGTAAGGCATTTCACAATGAAGACCACAACTTACCTCTTGCTAAGCTAAAATGTGGAATAGGCAGCATCACCACCAGATGGATTTGTAACTGGCTGACAAGTTTTATTCAATGTGTAGTCCTTAATGGAACTACATCTACATGGAGAGAAGGAAGCAGTGGGATACCTCAAGGTTCCCTTTTATGCCCCACACTCTTCAACAGCTTCATAAACAATTTAGATTGGGAAATCAAAGGGGAACTCACCAAATTTGCGAATGACACAAAACTGGCAGGAATAGCCAACACCCCAAAAGATAGACTCAAGATTGAGATGGATCTCAATAGACTAAACCAATTTTCCAAAGCACCAGAAGACAAGACAAGAAACTAATGGATGGAAACTGATCAAGGAGAGAAGCAACCAAGAACTAAGGAAAAATTTCTTAATAGAATAATTAACCAACGTAATGGCTTGCCTTCAAAAGTTGTAGGTGTTCCATTATTGGAGACTTTTAAGAAAAGATTGAACAGCCACTTGTCTGGAATGATATAGGGTCTTCTGCTTGAAGACCTCTGTTAAGCCTGGATTCCCCAACAGGTGTTAAGGAAAACAAACTAAACAGAATGTGCAGCGAAGTCAGATA